GTGAAATGTTGTGAAGCAACAGTTACAGAAAGAGTGGAGATGGGAAATATAAGAAGTTTAGCAGGAGGACAGGGAAGACTAGGGAGAAAAAGGCAGAGGGATAACCTGAATGTTGATAATAAGATGATTAAAGTCATATAATTTTTCCTTATGTTCTAACAAGGAGTGAGGAAGGATGGCAGTATAATGAAGATCCAGTGGGTTGGGGAAGATGTTGAGAAAGGTATCTATGGCCGCAGTTTTAAACTCAGAAGAGCACAGTTCCCAGAATAGGATTTTGGTAGGCAAAATCAATAGTCCTTTGTTTGGGACGAGTGAAAAGAGGGTACAGAGGCTTCTTCAGACCCCGTTGGCCACTTTGGGCAAGAGGGGAGGTAAGCTGTACAAGGAGACACATAGATGTGCTATCTTCTCTAGAAACATTAGATAAGGCAGGTTGAATGAGACATTAAATTGTGAGCACCTTGGCAGCTCCTCGTCCCTGTTGGCTGAGGAGATGCAAAAGCTTCACATGTTTATACTAACTTGGAATGTGGCTGTGACCTCTCTCCCACAGGAACCTTCTTCACATCATCTAGGAAGAGCTTGCCCCATTCAGAGGGAACCAGCACAATAGCTACAGAAAGATATAAGAAAGGAAGGGGTGGGGTGGGGGCAGCTGGTGTGGCTCAGTGGATTGAGCGTCTTCCCATGGACTGAGAGGTCCTGGTTCGATTCCTCATCAGGGCACATGCCCCGGTTGCAGATCCCCAGAGGGGGGCATGCGGGAGACAGCCAATCAATGTTTTTCTCTCTCCCTCCCTTCCTTTCTCTCTAAAAAAAACCAACAAAAACCTATTTAAAAAAAGAAAGGAGGGGGAAAATGGGAAATAAGTGGCAGGAAACCTACCCACACTAGAAAAATGTTTTGTTTTTTTTTTTACCTCAGTTGAAAAATCAGTGGCCAGTCATACCACCATAAAGTCAAAAAACTTAAGAAAATAAAGAACTCCAAACAGATACAGGAGATCGGGTAAAATAAGGCATGGTAACGGGAGAAAATTAAATATTAGCAGGTAGAGCCCAGGAAAATAGTCGAAGAGAAAACAAAAATTATCACAGAATTAAAAGAATAAAAATGAATACCAACTGCTGAAAATACAGTGAAGATTAAGGAAGACAGGCTGAGAAAATGAAATGGAAATAAATAATTAGAAAGAACATAATAGATGTAGAAAACAAAGAAGATCTAACTTAAGTATAATTGGTGTTCCTGAAGAAGACCAAGAAAATGAAACACAAAAACTCAAATATGCAAGACTGTATAGAAATAAGGGTTTGAAGTAATGAGCAAACTATATCTCAAGAAAAAATGACACAGAACAAATGGAACTAAAACACTTCCTAGGAAAGTTTCTACATTTTAAGGGTGAATAAAGAATGTTTTAGACATCCAGGCAAAACAATGGAGTCCTCTTGAAGAGGGGAAGGAGCAATTAGGCTAGCCCCATTTGACAGAAGATAATGGAGCAATGTCTACAAGTCTGCAGCTATTACAGATTATACTACTATAAATACCTGAAAATACACTTAAGAATATGTAAGATTTATGAACCTGGTCAGTGTGGCTCACTGGTTGAGCATGGACCCATGCACCAAGAGGTCACTGGTCAGGGCACATGCCCAGGTTGTGGGCCTGATCCCCAGTGCGGGGCATGCAGGAGGCGGTCCGTCAATGTTCTCTCTCATCGATGTTTGTATCTCTCCCTCTCCCTTTCTCAAAATTAATAAGGGGGAAAATTTTAAAATATATATATATATGTATGATTTATATGGAAAAAAGAATGTACTTTTTAAAAGATAACTCAGTTTACAAAAAATTGACTATGTATTAAGAAAAAAAACATTTTTTAATAAGAGAAATCAACAGATTGGAAAAAATACTACATATCAGCACTTATAGAAAGATGAGGAAACTAAAGCCCAGGTATGTTAAGTGACTTGCCCAAAGAGAAAAGCAGGGCCAGAACTGGAATACTGTCTGTCTCCAGAGTTTTAAATATATACTGATGTCCAAAAAAAATTATGGGGAAAAAAAGTGTTGAAAACTGTGGGGAACACTTGCCCTGTCAGATTAGAATAAGCATACTATAATTGGTATAGTTATGGCCAGAGAGGTTAGTAGAACCACATAGAATGTTCCAGAGCAGCTCTAAGTATATGTAGAAGTGTAGTATGTGATAAGATAGAATCTTAATTCCCTGAGGGAAAAATTAATAAGTTGTATGACATAATTGGTTATCTATCTGGCAGGAAATTTTTAAACCCTCTAAGTCACGTGATATATGAAGAACAAATTCCAGGTCAAGTATCTAAATGTAAATAAAGTCTCACAAACAGTAGGAGAACATTGACTAAAAGTTTGTGCTGGGACAGTGGGAGTGAGCAGAGGACAGGGCAGCCTGTAAGCCACTCATTAAATCCAGAGTCAACTAAGGAAAGGATAGACAGATTATAGTAAACATTTTTATGTGACAAGATATGTTGTGGACAACATCAAAAGACAAATGATAGGCCAGGGGGAAATATTTTCAAAACCTGACAGACAGTAAGAGCTAATTCACTTAGTGTGATAGAAAAATGAACAAAAGTGTAAATAGCCAGCTCCAAGGAGGGGAAATGCAAGTGACCAATAAACAAAAGATGCTCCACCTCACAGGTAGTAAAAGGAAATGAGAATATATGATGTTACTTTTTGTTTTCAAATTTATAAAAAGTATGTTATCACTTCTAGTATTGTTGACAGTATAGGGAAATGAGCACCTTTATATACAACCTAGGTATGTGCCCTGACCAGGGTTGAACCTATAACCTTGGCGTATCATGACAACACTCTAACCAACTGAGCTACCCGGCCAGGGTTAAAATGTCTTTTTTTTTTTTTTCAAAAACATTGAAAGAAAATGACAGAGCAGCCATAGACTGAGAAGAAACTTGGAAAACATGCAACTGGGGACTGGTATCCAGAATATACAAAGAATTCTGAAAACTCAAATAAGAAAACAAGCAATCCAGTAAAAAAAAGAAAAAGAAATGATACCATAATGGTGGATACACGTCATTATACATTTGTCAAAACCTATAGAGTGTGTAACACAAAGATTGAATTCTAATATAAACTCTGGACTTTGGGTGATAATGATGCATTGTAGGTTCATCAGTGGTAACAAACATGCCACTTTGGTACAGCTATGTCAATAGTGGAGAAGGCTGTGCCTGTGTGGGAACTCTACTTTCTGCCTTTTTTTTTTTTTGCGAATCTAAAAAACATGAACTCTTTAAAGGACAAAATATTTTAACAGACAATGCTAGGGGGAATGCAAAATGACAAAGCCACTTAGGAAACAGGTTGGCTGGTGTGGCTCAGTTGGGCATTGTGGACAAAGTTTTTTAGAATAAAGTTAAATATACATTTACAATATGACCCAGCAATTTTACTCTTAGTTGTCTACCCAAGAAAAAAATGAAAGCTTCCCCCCACAAAAAAAACCCTCATACATAAATGTTTATATCATATTACATTAACGGTCCCAAACTAGAAGTAACCCAAAAGTTCATCAACTGGATATAGTATTTCCATATAATGCAATACTATTCAGCAATAAAAAAGAAGATACTACTGATATACATAACAGATGAATCTCAAGAGCGGCATGCTGAGAGCCAATCACGAAAGACTCAATACTCTGATTCTGTTTATACAGTATTACAGAAAAGACAAAACTATAGATCACAGATTGCTTAGGACTAGGGGTAGGGGATTGACTGCAGAGGAGCCCAAGAGGACTTTTTGGGGTGATGCAAATGTCCTATATCTTAATTATTTGTGCGGGGATTTACACAACTATACATTTGCAAATGTATACATTCCAAATCATTGAACTGTACACTTAAAGTAGGTGAAATTTTATGGTATGCAACTGTACCTAAATTTAAAAAAAAAAAGTAAGAGCCCTGGCCGGTTTGGCTCAGCGGTTGGAGCGTCGGCCTGCGGTCCTGAGAGACCCGGGTTCGGTCCCCGCTAAGGGCATGTACCTCGGTTGCAGTTTGTCCCCGGCCCTGGTCGGTTGTGTGGGTGGCAGCCACTCGATGTGTTCCTTTCACATCGATGTTTCTCTCTCTCTCTGTTCCTCTCTCTCCCTCCCACTCTACCTGAACAAAAAATGGAAAAATGTCCTCGGGTGAGGATAAAAAAAAAAAAAAAGTAAGATACTGGTATCTAAGACTGAAGTAAGAGTAAAAGGAATTCTGTTTTTCTGTTGTATGGTTAGTGCTTATCCTCTCATTATGGATCTTTAGAAAAAATTCTCCATTTCATCTTCCCGTGGTGGAAGTTCATACGCAAATGTATACCGACAGGCAATTCCCACTGAGCCTGATTGAGTTTGACAGCAAAGAATGGAAGTCAATATTGGCCCAAAATTGACTAAGAAAAAGTGGCCAGAACCAGGCTCATCAGTGGTCCCCCTCTTTTTTTTCCCCCAGTAGGGTGGTTCGGGTTCTTGAATCCTCTTTTTTCATACCTTTATGTGTAAATGTATTACTAGACTATAGGGGCAGGGGGCTGTTTGTGCGAGAGATGTCACTGTTGTATGGGACTGGGACTGCACAGGGTCTAAATACCTGCAGCACTTCAAGACTGGGGTAACTAAAACCTTGCATTATTAGATGCCTCAGGGGTGTGGGGGAAGGTGTAACCTGTTGGGCAGATAATGAGGTTCTGTGGGTCAAAATGCAGGATTTGGAGTCTGAAAACCTGCCTTCAAGTTTTGTTTCTGCCTCTTACTGACTGCAGTGTTGACTAACCCAACACTCTGAGTCTGCATTTCCTCGTCTGAGCAATTGGATGGTTGGACTAGATGCCCTCTCTCTGTGATAGTTCTCGGCTCTGCAGTTCAGGACTTTTGTCACTGCCTAGGGATCTGATGTATTTGACACAGCTTAATTTTGTTATGTTACAGGTTCAGCTTGTTGGTTTAGATGAAGAGAGTTCAGAGTTTATTTGCCGAAACACCTTTGACCATCCGTACCCCACCACAAAGCTCATGTGGATCCCTGACACAAAAGGCGTCTATCCAGACCTACTGGCAACAAGTGGTGACTATCTCCGTGTGTGGAGGGTAAGCAGATGCTCGTGTCAGCTGTTATTAGCAGCATGGAGTCACGGAAAGCAGGCTGGGGTTGAAGGCAGAGAGTGTCATTGCAGCCCAGGAGAAACAAATGCTAACATATCTGAAATGACCTTGTTTGGCTCAGCAGATTTCCTAGTGAACCTAGCCAAGATTCCTGGAAGTCCTTGCTGCTGGCCGCAGCCAGCCCTGGAAACCTGAAGCTCAGCTATCCTGACATAACCTTCTGTGGGGGGGGATACTTGAGGCCTCTTATTATATTTACAGCCAAGATACTTTTGAAAAAATTAAAGAGACTACCAGGCCACTGATTGTAGTAAAGTATGCATGTGGATTATGGAGACTCACCTCCCCTTGGCTGAGCTCATCAGCAGTGGCGTCTCCTGGCCTGGAGGTGTAGTGCCAGCCAGGCAAGGTGGGAAGACCTCTTCTCTAGAAAAATTTGCAGAGGAGAAAGCTTGTAAAGAAGTAGCACTCAGGGAGTTCCTCTAGGTTTTATGGCTTTATTATAAAATTGCCCCCCCCCCCATGTCTTATATTTACTAAGATAGTGTTTAAATGGAGCTTAAAAGATTTTTTGTGAAGATGAGACCGACTGAATTTTTAAAATTTTTCTTTTAGGTGGGTGAGACAGAGACCAGGCTGGAATGTTTGCTAAACAATAACAAGAACTCTGACTTCTGTGCGCCTCTGACCTCCTTCGACTGGAATGAGGTGGATCCCTATCTTTTAGGTAAGGGAGTGAGGGAGTATGGATTTCACTTTGAAGAAGCAAAGATACATTTTCTCAGATTTAACTGGGGGCCTGAGGTACATGCATCATTCTAGAATGGGGCCACGTGGGGAAGAGACTAGACAGGGAATGTGGTTATTAATTCCTCATATGGAATCAAGCTTCCCATATGTATATGGTTTGTCTCCAGTCAGTCTGAGGTCCTAGGGTAAGGATTGAACACTTGACTCTTTGGGGCTTTTCTGGTACCCTCTCTATGCTAAGAAGTGTGTTTGTGGCACATGGTCTCCTGTGCTGAACAGGTAGGTGAGTACGCAAGAGGAGAGAACCTTGCCTGTGAACCTCACTCCCATCAACCACTAACATGCACTGATTATTTCCAGGTACCTCCAGCATTGATACGACTTGTACCATCTGGGGGCTGGAGACAGGGCAGGTGTTGGGGCGAGTGAATCTTGTGTCTGGCCACGTGAAGACTCAACTCATTGCCCATGATAAAGAGGTAATGGTGCCGTCCCTCTTCTGCTTTCTGTGCCTTCATTGTGGTCAGTCTTGCTCACTGTTTTGCAAATGATGCAGAAAATTATAATGCTAACATCGTGTCTAAATTGAAAATAGTCATATATTAAAACAATGAAAAACAACACTATTGTAAAGGAGTGCATTTTGTTTTTTGGTATGTGCCCCTAGCGGGAACCGAACCCAAGACTCTCTGGTCCGCAGGCCGACGCTCCAACCGCTGAGCCAAACCGGCCAGGGCAAGGAGTGCATTTTTTGACTGATATAAACAACTTGTTCTACAGTCATTTTTCTTTTCAAGCCTAAGATTGCTGTTTTTTTAACAACGAACTCTCTTATAGACAAACTCAGACCTGATGTGATTAAAAATGAATCTTAGAGTAACACTTGTCTTGAAATATATTTGCTTTTTATGGGGAGGGGTGGTAGGAGAGAGGCAGGAAGAGGGAAACTTCTTGGAAGTCAAACCTAATTCATCAATTTTCCTCTAAACTTGTTTTATGAAATTCTAGTATGTTCCCTTAATACTTGAAACTGTTTGGGATTGAATATGATTTATCGTGATGGTGATGTTTCTCCTGTGTTTACTGCAAAAGCCGCAGGGAGCTCTTTGTGATTGTGTTTTGTTTTGTTTTTTATCCTCACCCGAGGACATTTTTCCATTTTTTGTTCAGATAGAGTGGGAGAGAGGGAGGGAAGGAGGGAGGGAGAGAGAGAGAGAGAGAGGGAGAGAGAGAGAGAGAGAGAAACCTTGACGTGAAAGGGACACATCCAGTGGCTGCCTCCTGCACACATGACCCAACCAGGGCTGGGGACAAACTGGGACCGAGGTACGTGCCTTTAGCGGTAACCGAACCTGAGTTTCTCTGGACTGCAGGTCAACGCTCTAATGGCTGAGCCATACTGGCCAGGGCTGTGATTGTGTTTTAATCAAAGCATTCCTATGAGTGATTTTGGGAAGTGGTCATAAATCTTTTCCTCTCAAAGCTGCTGCATGCTCCTAGTACTGTGATTTCCTGTGGGCAGTGTTTCCTTTTCTCTCCTACCTTACCCTGCACAGGAAGGAATATTGATATCTGTACAAATAGAAAGGGTGCCTTGACCTTAGGTCAGAAACTTGAGGTTGTCCATGGAATGGGAAGTTGGTGACCAGGTTATCATTCTTAGTAAGGGGTTCTTTGGCTTTCTGTGCTCCTAAGGGTAAGATCTGTTACAAGACTGCTGACTTGGGCTGCTGCTGAACCAAGGGGCAAAGGAAGAGTTTGTCCTGCAGAGAAGACCAGTAGGAACTTCTTGAAACCCTCTTGACATCAGGTGGAACAGGTTGCTACATTTTAGTTATGTGACAATTTAGTCTGATGTTCTCTATCAGGATCCAGTTCAGAAAACCAGAACTACTCTAAGTATGTAAACGAAGGGGATCCAATCCAGGGGATTGCTTACACAAACAATGGTAAAGTTGAGAAGACACACTGGCAACAGTGAGGTAATCTGGAGAATAGGAGCAGTAGGAAGTGGTGCTCCCTTACAGGCCAGAAGGGCCAAGGGAGGGTGCCAGGGGCTGAGTTTACCTGGCACATGCTAGAACCATGGAGGGGACACAGCCATTGCCAAAGATGCTCAGGGAACAGCTAGAGGGGAGGAGAAATACCTTAGCTTCTTCCTACCAGAGACGAGGGCCAGGACCAGCAAACAGGCCCTGGACTAGCCGCCTGGCCTTGAAGAAATGAACTTGAGGTTAGTTGCTCTGAGAGAAACAGTGATACCTCCTAGCACCTTTGGCTTTTCTCAGCCCACCTCACTCTGCCAAAGATTTGTTTGGGGCCCATGTTGCTGCCTGGCAGGTTGGTGTAGACTCTGGTGGTTCTCAACCTGTGGGTCGCGACCCCTTTGGGGGTCTAACAACCCTTTCACAGGGGTCGCTTAAGACATAACAGTAGCAAAATTACAGTTATGAAGTAGCAACGGAAATAATTTTATGGTTGGGGGTCACCACAACATGAGGAACTAACTGTATTAAAGGGTTGCGGCATTAGGAAGGTTGCGAACCACTGGTGTAGAGGGTAGCATATATGTGGGGTTGTCATCTTCCCTTGGCTTATAAGGAAATACACTGGTGGAGCTCCGATAAAGAAGCAGTCAGTTAAAGCTAAGAGAGCTTTACACACTTGGCCACACTGCCCACAGACCTTGTTGCTTAGTGATGCTGTTGTGGTGCCTGTACTTGATAGTTACTGAGAGCTGGCCCGCGGGGTGCTCACATTGATAAACATGCCCCTGCCCTCACGCAGTTGGACAGTGCTGGACAGTCTTGAGCTGCCGGGCCTCCTTGTGGTGACCTATCCTGTTCCCTTTTGAATCATTCCTAATTCCTAACATAGAAAGAGAAGTGTAATTTCTTCATTGTCAGAGAAAAGGAAATATATGAGGTTGAATAGAAATAGATTCTCATTTGGCAGTGTTCTTAGTAGACAGAACCTCAAGAAGGCCGGAGTCATGGTATTTTGTGAGAGTCTATCATGTCTTTCCAAAAGTCAGCTTACTAATTTTGACCCCAGAAGATGGGTTTTGTTTTTCTTTTCATTTGTTTTTCTTTTTCAGATTGACTCTCTTCTGTCTGCTTGTCTGGCTCTGTCTTTGTCTGTCTCCGTCCTTTCCTTTCTCTGAAGCTCTGTTGCTCTCTGCTTGTGTCTCCTCATAGAGGAGAGTGGTGTGCAGTGTTTGCAGCAAGTAATAATGCAGAGAACATGGATTCAAAACCCAAATTGATTCACTTAGGAATGCAGACCAACTAGGAAAAGAAACAGCATGTCCTAGAGCAAGAGTGATAGTAATCTTCTTTGTGAATGTAGGAATGCCTCCTATGAGTTAAAGCTGCTGTTACTTCTTTCTTCCAAATCAGTCTCAGGTCCAGGTTTCACAGGACCAACTTGGCTGTTATTAAGTGGCCACAGGAAGGCTGCTTTCACCTCTCTAATCGATGATCTTGGCCTTAATGTGTTCATGGATCTGCCTCTGACCACACAAATGAAAGCCATCAGGAAAGCAGTGTCTCAATCTTGTATCATGGTAGAAGACAGCTATGATTCTGGCTTGTGCTGAGCCTGTCTACGCATACAGAATACTTGTTCAGAATTTACTTGTGCTCTGTTGGTCATCAGGTTATGTGCTCTTTGAAGGGGTTGGAGGAGGGAGACTTGGAAAGCAGGAATGTAGGAAGAAGCCAGCCAATTTCTGTAGCAGAATAATCTTCACTCTTTGGAAAGTCACTGATGTTAGAACTCTCAGGTTTCAGACTTGCAGACACTGTTTGGCTTTACTTGACCCCTCCTGTGTCATAAACAGGGGTTTAGATGAACTAGGGATAGCAGATTTTCCTACTATGGGAAAAGGAGGTAATGGATCAGAATTTGACCAGCATGTCTTACTCACCAACAGGTCTATGATATCGCATTTAGCCGGGCTGGCGGTGGCAGGGACATGTTTGCTTCTGTGGGCGCTGATGGCTCGGTGCGGATGTTTGACCTCCGCCATCTAGAACATAGCACCATCATTTATGAAGACCCACAGCATCACCCGCTGCTTCGCCTCTGCTGGAACAAGCAGGACCCTAACTACCTGGCCACCATGGCCATGGATGGAATGGAGGTGAGCATCCTGCTTTAGGCTAGCTAGCATAGGCCCTGCCACCTAACTCTGGCACTACTTAGTGTGTCTAGAACAGTGGTTCTCAACTGGTGGCAGTTTTCTTTCAGTGGACTTTTTAATTTTTATTTATTTTTAATTTTTTCTTTATTGGTTTTAGAGAGAGAGGAAGGGAGAGAAAGAGAGAAAGAGATAGAAACATTGATGGCAGAGAACATTGATTGGCTGCCTCCTGCATGCCCCCCACTGGGGATTTGGTCCACGACCTCTTGGTGCATGGGTTGACACTCAGCCACTGAGCCACACCGGCCAGGCCCAGTGGACTTTTTTAAATGTCTGGAGACAGTTTTGATTAACCCAACCCAGGGGGAGTGGGCAGTGCATCTAGTGGGCAGCACCAGGGATATTGCTAAACCTCCTATAATGCACAGGACCAAGAATGATCTGACTCAAAATGTCAGGAGTACTAAGATTGAGAAAACCTGATCTAGAACAAGCAAATGTGTTAAGAACTTTCAATGCTTGAAGAGTTGGAGTTGGTGTTAAGAAAAGCAATATCTAAAAAGTAAACCAAATCATACGTGCTAAGAGGTAGGAGTTTCCCCCTTCTGTAGTCAGGGCAGATTCTTCAGCGTTAGCAAACAGACATGGAAATGGCAACTCTCTGTAGCTTGTTACTTGATAAAAGCAGTAAATTGTGGGTAGAGATGATGCAGTTATTAACTTTGTTTTGGTGAAGGCAGCACCTCAGACTCCTTACTTTTCAAATTCTGCTCTGGAGGATGCTGTCACTCTGTCCAACTGAACATGCACAGAATCTTAGCACAAGCACCTAATGGGACTTGGTGCATTATCCAAATTCATGTTACCTACTCCTGCATTTCCCCTTCCGTATCAGTCTAAAGACCCTGTGTTGCCCAGCTGGTGTGGCTCAGTTGATTGAGTGTTATCCCATGGACTGAGAGGTCCTGGTTCAATTCCTGGTCAGGGCACATGCCCAGGTTGCAGTCTTGGTCCCCAGTAGGGGGCCTGTAGGAGGCAGTCAATTGATGTTTGTCTCTCACATCAATGTTTCTCTCTAAAAAAAATCAATCAATAAAAACATATTTTTAAAAAAAGACCCTGTGTTGCTTTAGATACAGATTATAAACTACCTGTGTCTTTTTTTTAATTATGTTTTGATATTTTAGAAAGGGAGAGAGAGAGATAGAAACATCAGTGTGAGAGAGAAACATCGATGGGCTGCCTCCTACAAGCCCCCTACTGGATATCGAGCCCGAAACCCAGAATAGAACCGGGACCTCTCAGTCTGTGGGAGGACGCTCAATCCACTGAGCCACACCAGCCTGGCTTCTTTGTTTTCTTTTTCCAATTCCAGTAGCTACTTTTGGGACAGAGACCCTCTGTATCTAATAATCTTTAAATCCACAGCTGAAGAAGTTATGCTTAAAAAAAAATTTTGTCTGTCACACTCTGAAGTTCTGGGCCTTTTCCTTGTTATTTCTGCAGGTAGTGATTCTGGATGTCCGAGTTCCGTGCACCCCTGTCGCAAGGTTAAACAACCACCGAGCATGCGTCAATGGCATTGCTTGGGCCCCACATTCATCCTGCCACATCTGCACTGCAGGTAATTTCAGTGGGGGAGGGGCAGCACGGGGAGGGCGAGGTAAGGAGCTCGCTCTTGTCTCCTTAGAATTGTAATCCCAAGGATAGTTTGAGAGATTGCCCAAAGTAACTCAATTGAGAGATTCCCCACACTTAGGAAAGCAAAACAGTCCAATTTTCTAAATGTCTTATACTCTCAGTGACATCAGTGCATCTTCCACATACTATTTACATCATGTGTCAGTTATAGGCTTGTGTCTCCTGTCCCTCCTGAAATCTAGGTTGACACAGAGAACTAAGATCCAGGAACGTGGAGAAGAGGGAGAAGAAGGGCAGTCTTAGATGTACTAGAATCTTTGGGACTGCCAAGGTTGACATCTTCCTTAGGAGATGTAATACACCTACAGTGAGCTCTGGATTCATTGAAGGGCCCGGGGAGCCTGGCTTGGTCGGTGGTGTGTGACTTGTAGTTTTCATTACTCCGTTTGCCAGACCAAAAAGACAGCCCCATAAGAATATGCTGGCTATCAGTATGCTTTTATTCTAGAAATAATATATTTATTTAAAATGAAAACAATTACAGAGGTATGTCAGATAGGAAGGTGAAAATCTTTTCTTCTTTGTATTCCATTTCCACCTCAGTCCTTCTCTCCATAGGTGACCCCTAACAACAATTGTGTGTCTTCTTCCAGACCTTTTTATGTGGGTATATGCACACACATACCCCCAATATGAGTATCTGTCCCTGTATTAATTACACAGACAGATTTCACTCTAGCCTCATAGTGTTCTGCTCCTTATTTTTGTCAGTGCCTTAGATTTCTTTCTAACATACTTTTCCTCTCCTTGCTAATAGTACTGTCCTCGTTTTCTTGTTCATTATGGAGCCAAAAGAGCAGTGTAGTCACGTGATTTTCTGCCATTTTAACATTAATTTGAAAGGCACATGGAGCTTTTCCCGTTTTGGGCCTTTGCCTGTGCCTGTGTGTCTCATTGAGGAGCAGTTAGGACCCTGCCACCTTCCTCTGTACCTTACTTAGCTTGTGGTATGACTTCTTTTTTTAAAATCTCACCCGAGGATATTTTTCTATTTTATCTTCAGATAGAGTGGGAGGGGGGAGGGGGTGAGAGAGAGAGAGAGAGAGAAACATCAACATGAGAGGGACACATCGACTGGTTGCCTCCTGTATGACCCTGACCAGGGCTGGGGATGAACTGCAACAGAGCTACATGCCCTTGACCAAAACCAAACCCGAGACTCTTTGGTCTGTGGGCCAACGCTCTAACCACTGAGCAAAACTGGCCAGGGCTGATCTGACTTCTTCATCATTGTCCCCTTTTTCCCCCAGGGGTATGGCTGTAGAAGGGTGGGAGAAGGAAAAAAAAAAAAAAGTGTCATCCATTGTTCACGGAGAACATCAGAAGTCCATTGTCTGCTCCTGGCATTGCCTTTGCCTGTCACTACTATTGTATGGGTTGCACCTGTCTTGAGTCCTTTCAGTTGAAAAAGCTGCTGCTGAAGATGTGCTTGGTTGAGCATTGAGGAAAAGGAACTTAGTGCTTTAGAGGTGCTGAGTGTTTAAAACAGTTTCCCAGATCTCTTGACACAGATAGTCACCAGAAGGGCATCTCGCACCTTGTCCAGGTTATGTGCCAGGGCAGGAGGCCAGTGTTGCCCTCATGAGCCTGGCCAGTTAGGGTTTAATTTATTCAGATCCCCTGTGTATCAGAAATAGGCTTTCACATCAGGATGGGCTGATGGAATTAGGAGACACTGATGTTGAAGGTCTTTGACTTGCTTTTTCTTCTCTTAAATTAAGAACTTACTATTTTGATTATAAAAGTAACATGATGACATTACAGATCATGTAGGAACTAAAAAAAAGTAAACCTAATTCATAACCTTGCCATCCTAATAGTATCACTGTTCTCGTTTTGATGTATCTCCTCCTAGACATTTCTTGTGTGCTTATATATTTATTTAAGGTGATTACTTTCTTCCTAGTGTTTTCCAGGAAAATTGTTTTTATTTATTTAATTTAATTTTTTTTTTTGGTGGTATGTGCCCCTAGCGGGAACCGAACCCAGGACTCTCTGGTCCGCAGGCCGACGCTCAACCAAACTGGCCAGGGCAGGAAAATTGTTTTTGTTTTTTTTTTATCCTCACCCGAGGATATTTTTCCTTTTTTTTTTTTGTACAGATAGAGTGGAAGGGAGAGAGAGGAAGGGAGAGACAGAAACATCGACGTGAAAGAACATATCGAGTGGCTGCCACCCGCACGACCAACCAGGGCCGGGGACAAACTGCAACCAAAGTACATGCCCTTAGCGGGAACCGAACCCGGGTCTCTCCGGACTGCAGGCCGACGCTCTAACTGCTGAGCCAAACCGGCCAGGGCAGGAAAATTGTTTTTAATAGCACATGTCCATATGGCATTTATCTCATTATCTGTTTAACACTCCATTGTAGTGTAAATATTCATAAAATAGGGAGATCGTTCCATTAAATTGGATCATCGAAGAGGGATCTTTAGTCACTCAAGTACTTTAAATGCTGAAAATGACATGTTTTGGAGTCATTTTTATCTCATCCCTTCATCCTTTCCTGGTGCCTGCTCATCTAAGATGAGAGATGTCCACCAGGTCCTATTGTATTGTCCTAGCTCTGATGCAGTGAACACAGCCCTGGGACAATCAGAGGTTCGCTCCGAGTCCTGGCTCTGCCACTCGCTGGCTGCGTTGCTCTGTGGTTTGGGGCAAGTCCCTTAACATTTTGGCACCTCAGTTGCATCATCTATAAAATGGAAGCTTAAAATAAAATCTTCCTCACTGGGGTTTTAGTGAGCAAATGTTTTGTAAACTGACCACCAGCACCACCAAATGCAGGGATCGTTATCCTCTTTGCCTGAGAGTTGTGACCTTGCTTTCTGGCTTTCTGTCCCTAGCGGATGACCATCAGGCTCTCATCTGGGACATCCAGCAAATGCCCCGGGCCATTGAGGACCCTATCCTGGCCTACACAGCCGAGGGAGAGATCAACAATGTGCAATGGGCATCGACTCAGCCTGACTGGATTGCCATCTGCTACAACAACTGCCTGGAGATACTCCGAGTGTAGTGCTGGAGGCGCCATGCCCACATGGCAGGGGCTTACATGTTTCCCGCCTCTGCCCCACCCCAAAGTAAGAAGAAACATGTTTCCAGTGGCCAGTGTGTCTTTCATTGCTTTGCACCCACTGTTACCAGAAGCTGCTCTAGGAGTTCCTGGCCAGTCACCCCATTGTTCTCCGTGCCAGACTCACTGCTGTATGGCGCCTCCTCAGCCCAGGGCTGAGTTTTAAGATTTTCTCTCCTTTCCTCTTCTTCTTTAGTTCCTCAATTAAAAGTTTCTGTATATTTGTTTGTCAGCTGTTGTGTTAATGAGCATTACAGGCACTGGCTGTGTTTGTATTCATCTGCCCCAGATGTCTCCGTCTGTCTGTTGCCCAAGGCAGCAATTGTGTCCATGTCCATGTTAGCACTTAAGTGGGAACAAGTACCAGTTTCGAGTTGTCTTTCCTCCTATTATCAATGTCTGTAACAAATTTCAACTTTGTATATTTTTTATCTATCAGGCTAATTTTTTTATGAAAAGAATTTTACTCCCTGGCTTGTCCTTTGTTTCATAGTCCACCCTATTAGCACTTCCTCTCTTCCCTCAGTGCCTGGACCTGGCGCTAGGCCCTTGACCCCGTGAGCAGTTTGCCTTCTTGCATCACTGCCTGAGCAGAACGGACCTGACCGGGAGTCCCAAACCGCCTTGGTGCTCTGAAGTAGGCCAGCTCTCATACCTTTTCTCAGTCTGGCTCTTCTCAAGGGCATTCTGGGCTCCAAAACAGACGTGTGAAGCCTTCTGTTATTCCCTGCAGTACCTCTGTTCAACCCCACTGGGACCTATTGGGAACATGCTGGGGTAGAGATCGGCTGACTGGAGTGCCTGACTTGAGGGGAATAGTGTCAGGAAAGCTGAGCCTAGAGCATATTTCGAGTACATAGTTTGGGAGACTGTTTTTCCCTCCAAATAAAAGCCCCAGGCCATTCTCTTTCATGTCTCGATTGATAGGCAAGAATGATCTATAAGCTGAACTTTGGTATCCCTGTTTAGTGGTGTATCAGCCCCCTTTGGATTGAGTGCTCTGAGGTGAGCAACTCTGGCTTGAGAGGCACACGATCTGCGTGTCTAACCCTGAACAAGATTTCCTCTGGAGTGAGGGAGACTGTCGACTCTTGGAGGAACTAAGAGGCTGTCCTGATTTCAGGCCATCAAATAATTAGATAGCTACAAAAAGAATCAGAGACCCCAGGGTCAGCCAGACCACTATTGTACTTGCAGGCTACAGGGGTCTGTTTCCGTTACATGAATGAGTTCCATGGAGGGGGTTGTGTGACTCTGGTGGTAGGCTGAGTTTGGGACATGCTCAGAGTCCGGGCGGAGTCTGCCGGGTTTATTGCGCCCTGCCAAGAGGTGGAAGGTTTCTGAGTCACTCTGAGGGTAGCAGAGTAGCAGACCTTAAGGCTGATGGTTTTGTCCGCTTAGGCTCTCACCTGTTCTTGGGAAGCAAAACCTTTTTACTTTTTTATTCTGGTTTTGGGGCTCTTTGGCTGGTCATCTGCTTGAGGCTCCCTCTCCTGCATTTATAACCAGATATGCAGTGTGTCATTTGGAGATGTAAAGTGAGCTGTTCTTGGTCAGAGCCCTTCTCTGCTTGTAGTTGTATTTGATGGTTCCAGGGTCCTTCTCTCAAAGGTAGCAACTCTAAGTTGATGGTTTGCCCTAGGAGGCCGTCAGTTCCTTCCTGTGGAAAAGGGTCTGAAATGGAGGTCAGAAGGGTAAAGGGAGCTGGTCCTGCTGAGGCAGGGCTTAAATTTAAGATTCCTTTCCTGATCTTCACTTAGACCTGGTCTGAATGGTGAGATTTGTCGACTAGAACTCGAAAACAACCTGGAGAAAAAAATTAGTTTATAGTAATTAGAATATATTTGGATAAAGTTTCTATTTATTCTGGAAACCTACAACTTTGGATTTTTTCCCCCTTGCCCTGAGGACTCCTAGCCCTATCACCATTTTTAGGCCCCGCAGTGCAGTCCTTCTCCTGACACCCCACCTGGGGCCCAGGTGAGACTCCCAGTCTCCCTGAGCAAACACACACACTCACCGTTGCTGGGATGCTGGTATTTGTAAGTCCCGTTCTTACCTTCTCTTTATACCACAGGCCAAATGGCCTTATGACTGAGGAGGGGATTTCTGTAGTCTAGGGACTGAGAAAACCTCTTAGCCAGCTATGTTCCAGGAAGCAAGATCTGTTGTAGTTTCAAGAGCAAGTTCTGTTTAGTTTGTTTAGGTTCTCAGAATGCTCAGATGCTCTGGATCTGTTCTGGATCTGTTCTGGATCTCTGAGTGAACAGAGAGCTGCCACAGCACACTTCTGGGCTCTTGCTCTGGTGGCCCTTTGACTCGTTCTTGGCCCCTGAACCAAAACATATTCTTGTTTTTCTTGTCTGCTCTGAGGAGAAGGGGAGGAAGGCGCTGAATAAATTAGGCCTCAGGCTCCACATCAGAGAACTGATGAATGGGTACAAGTCCTTCAAGAGCTTGAGTGTTTATGCTTAGAAGAGTTGGGAGCCTCTCCTTCCAGGGAGGAATTGGGCTAAAAGATGAGGACTTAAAGAGAGAAGATATTGATAACTAGGTGAGAATTTCTTACCAGAACCAGGACTGGTTCTCAGAGAACTGGTTAAGATTTGGGAAGAAACAGAAAAGATTGAGATTTCTACAAGGTTTTGATGATAGTTGTGGCTGAAATTTTAGAAGGCGATTTAGGATGTGGGAGAAAAACAAATGGTAAGTGTTGCTTTAGATCAAAGGAGAAAGTATTAGAGGGCAGTAATGGCCTGAGGTGGGGAGGTATTCAGACTGTCTGCTGTGTGGAGGTAGACTGAGACTGTGTCAGGGACCATTCATCAGTGTCTGTGATGCTGGGTAACTGAGGGGACAGGATGACAGCTCAGGGCAGAGGAGCCCCCCTGTGGCAGTACAGAAATCTTCAGGTCTTGGGAGTTCTGTGATTGCTCCAGACTGTGGCTCTTCTTGGTTGTGGGTTTGTAGAGAGCCGATGAAGCAGAGGTTGTAAACAGTCATGTTGACTTTCCCCACCCCTGCCTTTTCTCTTCCCACTCCCTTTCCACTTGTAGAACTTTTTCCCTGCTGCAACCTGGGCCTTGAATTCCTACGCTGTAAGAATATGTAGGAGCTGCAAGGTTTTCCAAACATGGGAGGGCCAGCCCAGTACCTTCTCTCCACCTTCCCCAGTTTAGAAATATGGCAGTTCCTTCAACTGCCTGGCTTGGGGTAAGGCAGACCATTGAAGTAGCAGTCTCAAAAGCAGACTCTCCCCTTTACTCTCTGCACTCCAGGATAAGGAGGGAGGGTCACGCTTGGCACTTCAGTTAGGTTTTCCTAGGAGGAAAGCTGAAATTGGGGCCAGGCTCTCTAAGAATTACCTTTTCTGTACTGGCTGAACCAACTACTGAGAAAGTCTCGTGTTGCAGAGCTTTGCCCACCTCCCCCACCTGTACCTCTTCTCCCACAGTCGTCATTGCTGCTAATGGTCAAAGGCAAATGTATAGGCCAGGTCCTCTCAGGCTATTTTCTGGGTGTTATTTTTTAAATAGGACATGCAGGTGCCTTTCCAAAGAGGCTTGGACTGGTGTATCAAACCAGAAACAAATAAGCTCATGAAAGTATGAACTCAAGAAGAAAGATGTTGGCAGTCTGTGTAACAGCTGGAAAACTTATAAGTACCCACTTATGGGACAAGTAAGTGAACATGAACTTGTGATATCTGCTATTTAAAAGAAATGTTCTCACCTTGGGTTGATTGTGGTGTACAGTATGTTATGAAACTTGTTGAGCTAAAGCTTTGACTTGTTTGAGTCGAATATGAATCATTTGCTTTGGTTCCTGTGTATTTTATGATCCCCCTGTCAGTGACTTTCCATCCCTCCTCCCCCTAGTGTGAATTTGTAGCATGATTGTACAAACCTCTATGTAGAAAATGGAGATTTCATGTTCTCTGAAATGTTAAGCTCTAGCCGATCAATCTCTGTCCCCTTTAGCCTAGTGTATCTGAACTTGTTATATATTTAAACTTTTCCTCTATAGTATGGATTTCGTGGCATCCTATGGTCAGGTGAAGAGGAAGCTGCACCTTGCAGAACTGTACTGTAACTATATTTCTTTTTAAGATATTATTTTCACAGGACTGATTGTACACAGGGCTTATAATAAAATTTTAACACTGTGCTGTGAAACCACAATGGTAAATCCCCATTGACGGATATCTCAAAGGCACCTAAAAGTGGAGTGTTATGTCTATGACTTTATTTCTTGCTTCCTGAGTATATTAAACCTAATTTTTGCCCTTTCATTCTGTTTCAGCCTCCTGTATAAGACCGTATTTTCTCCCCATCATACTTTGTAATAAAACTTGAACATGTATAGATTGACTGAATTTCTTCTTGTGATGAATTCAGTTCTTCTGATTCTGCCACTATGGTCATGTTCCAGAGACACTGACTGGGGTTTTAGACCCCAGCTCATCACTGTCTGATAGCCTTATCATCACCTTTAACAAAACACAGAGCACCTACTCTCTGCCAGGGGCCATGACCCTCAAGTTGCTCACAGCCTACCATAAGACACACCCACATAAACAAATACTGTCAGTGTGTGCAATAACAGGTGTGTTCAGGCTTACTGGTAGCCCTGAGAAGTTGATAATCACCTATGACTGGGTGGAAGCCAGAGAGGGTCCGGGGAAACTTCACAAGACAAATGCTTGAACTGGGTTTTGAAGGCTAAGTAGGGATTCTCTGGAAATAGGGAAAGGAATTTAAGGCAGAGAAAATATCCAGGTACCAATCTGTAAATGCAAGAAAGAGTGTGGTCATATTCAGAGAATTATAAGTTGGTGTGGTGTTTTATATGAGGACTGGTGGGAAATGTGGCTAGAGAGGTAAGCAGCAGCCAGATCAGAATCTTGTGCTTTGCAGGAAGATTAGACCTTACTCCTGTATGAGACTGCAAATTTTACGTAGAGGGAAGCCATGCTCAGAATTGCACTTTAGGAAGCAATGAAGAAAGCACCTCTGAGTTGGGGGGTGAGACGGAGTCAGTTCACCTGTTACAATAGTCACAGTGAGAAAAAATGAAAGCCTGAACTAAGGAGAAGCAGGAAAGAAGGATAGGTCACAACTGAAAAGATGTAAGAGATAATCAGGGTTCAGTAATCCATTGGAAGGGTGACAAAGAAATGGTAATTCCTAAATCCTGTGGGTTTGGACACTAGGTTCTAATGTGATAACTAGAGCTTCCAGGTCTGGTTGCCCAACATGGTAGGATGGAGGAGTTCCTGTTCTCACTGCTATTCAGATGCTGTGAGTCCTAGATGAATACTCTTCCCTCATTTATGTGTGTATGTACATATGTAGGTATGTATTTTTATCCTCACCTGAGGACAGTTTTTGCATTTATCTTGAGGGAGAGCGAGGGGAAGAGAGAGACATTGACTTGAGAGAGACCCATCGCATGGTTGCCACCCACACGACCAACCAGGGCCGGGGACAAACTGCAACCGAGGTACGTGCCCTTAGCAGGAACTGAACCCGGGCCTCTCTGGTCCACAGGCCAACGCTCTAACCACTGAGCAAACTGGCCAGGGCCATTTATTTTTTATTGTTATTCTTTGTTCATGTTGGGCCATTTCAAGGGAAGAAAGAAAAGCAAACTGATTGGTTCAGTGCCTGCCATTCTGTCAGAAGAATGGAGCTGAAGTGGCAGTGGGTCTGTGAAGGGAAGTGTGTGCTCTGAGAGTTTAAGTTTTATGTGACGAAATGAGCACCTGCTGGCTCTGTTAGAACTGTGATCTGGCCATGTATATTTTATGGGAAGTACGTGGTTCCTGCTCTTTGGGTTTTAAGGGGGAAGCTGGGAGAGTACTACTGACTGTATTCATCTCAATAGACAGGGCTGTGCTTCAGTAAAAAAAAAATCTCAGAGACTGAACAAAAGTTTGGGGTTTTGCTTACATTAGCCATTTTAAACTGGTGTGCTGCAAGAAGTTTTAAAACATGCAATGCCTGCCTAGTTAGGGGCACTGACCTCATTTTCTTTAGATTGTCAAATTTTAAAAAATGACAACAGGGGACTTCCGGTCAAGATGGCGGGTAGGTAAACGCGGTATCACGTCCTCCCACAACCACATCAAAGTTACAACTAAACTACAGAACAACCATCATTCAAAACCGCCTGAAATCAAGCTGAATGGAAGTCCTACAACTACAGAATTAAAGCAGCAGCCACATCCAGACTGGTAGGAGGGGCGGCAGCAGACGGGCTGGTCCCACACCCAAGTGTGGAGGATAAAAATCAGGAGGACACCTCGGCTGGGAAGGTCCTTGCTGAGGATTGAGGGGTCCCCGTCCCACACCAGGTGCCCCGCTCAGGGTTCCAGTGCCAGGAAGAGAATCCCCATAACTTCTGGCTGGAAAAACCAGCGGGAACTGAGGCTCAGGGAGGCTGAGGCGGCTGGAGCCCCAGGCAGCTCCTTAAAGGGCCCGCGCACGGACTTATCGGACTCACTCCCTCTAAGCTTGGAGGAAAGGCAGCTCCAGGGGTGCCAGAGACATACAAGGAAGAACTGAGCTGTTTGGCACTGGAGTGAGGGCTGGAGAGGGGGCTTTCTCTGGGACAAATGTGCTGTCAGAGGCCTTTGTTCCTTTGGTGAGCCCTTCCCTGGGGCGGCAGACAGAAGCCATATCTGGGGCTCCAGCAACCTGGCTCACACTGGTAGCCCCCCCCCCCCGTGACTCCCTGAGGCCCCGCCCCGCCCACCCAACTTTCAGGCCCACCCAAGCTGTTGCCACTTGCTTAACCATAGGATTGGCCTGTCTTGGATCCTGCTTCAGGTTTTTCCTAAATTCTTTCAAACGAGCAGCATCTGGTCTCAGCTAGCCCCATACCTCTCGTTAAGTAATACACTGAAACAAACACAGGGAGGCAGCCAAAATGAGGAGACAAAGAAACAGCTCCCCAATGAAAGAACTAAAGAAAACCCCAGGAAAAGAACTAAGCGAAATGGAGATAAGCAACCTAACAGATGCTGAGTTCAAAATACTGCTTATAAGGATGCTCAATGAACTTAGTGAGAACCTCAGTAAACTTATTGAGGGCCTCAAGAGCATAAAAAAGGACCAGTCAGAAATCATGGATGCACAGTTAGAATTGAAGGAGGCATTAACTGAAATAAAGAATAATTTACGCCCTGGCCGGTTTGGCTCAGTGGTTGGAGCGTTGGCCTGCGGTACAGAGAGACCCGGGTTCGGTTCCCGCTAAGGGCACGTACCTCGGTTGCAGTTTGTCCCCGGCCCTGGCTGGTCGTGTGGGTGGCAGCCACTCGATGTGTCCCTTCACGTCGATGTTTTTCTCTCTCTCTCTCTTCCTCTCTCTCCCTCCCACTCTATCTGAACAAAAAATGGAAAAATGTCCTCGGGTGAGGATAACAAAAACAAAAAACAAAAGAATAATTTGCACAGCTTCAATAATAGAGTATGTAAATCCAAGGAGCAAACCATCGATTTGGAATATAAGGAAGCAAAAAATGCCCAATCAGAACAGCAAAAAGAAAAAAGAATCCAAAAAAATGAGGATAGTGTAAGGAGCCTCTGGGACAACTTCAAGCGTGCCAACATTCGCATCTTGGGGATGCCAGAAGGAGAAGAGCGAGAACAAGAAATTGAAAACCTGTTTGAAACAATAATGGCAGAAAACTTTCCTAACTTGGTGAAGGAAACAGACATACAAGTCCAGGAAGCACAGAGAGTCCCAAACAAGATGAACCCCAAGAGGTCCACAACAAGACACATCATTATCAAGATGCAAAAGGTTCAAGATAAAGAGAGAATCTTAAAAGCAACAAGAGAAAGGCAGCTAGCTACCTACAAGGGAGTTCCCATAAGGCTGTCAGCTGATTTCTCAAAAGAAACTTTGCAGGCCAGAAGGGAGTGGCAAGAAATACAGTGATACCTCGGTTCTCTAACGCCTCGGATTTCGACCAAATCGGTATTCGACCAGGAGATTCGAGAAATTTTGTCTTGGAATCCGAACAAATATTTGGAACTCGAACTTCCGAGATGAGCCGAGTTGAGCCGAATGGCGTTCATTCGGCCCAGTGCACCTTGCTTGCGTCATCAGTGTGAGTGCAGAGAGAGAGTCACGCTTTGTGGAGAGAGTCACGCTTTACACTGAATTTAACCCTTAGACATACTGTACACTTTTATTTCTTGTTGAGACTTATGTTTTTCTACATATTATATACAAATTAGGCCAGTAAATAGGCATTTTCTGGGGCTTGGAACGAATTAATCCAGTTTCCATTATTTCCTATTGGGTTTCATTGCTTCGGTTCTCGAACAATTTGGTTCTCGACCGTCCTCCTGGAACGAATTATGTTCGAGAACCGAGGTATCACTGTATTCAGAGTGATGAAAAGCAAGAACCTACAACCAAGATTACTCTATCCTGCAAAGCTGTCATTTAGACTCGATGGCCATATAAAGACTTTCCAAGACAAGAAAAAGTTAAAGGAGTTCATCACCACCAAACCCTTATTATATGAAATGATGAAGGGTCTTTTTGAAGAAAAAGATAAAATATATGAACAAACAAAATGGCAATGAATACATATCTATCAACAATGGAATCTACAAACAAAATGAACAGGTAGAACAGAAACATTCTCATAGATAGAACATTTTGTTGGTTGTCAGTTGGGAGGGGGGTTGGGGGAATGGGTGAAAAAGGTGAAAAGATTAAGAAGTATAAATTCATTGCTAGACTGACAAACCTCAAAGGGAAAGGGGTTGGGGGTGGGGGGTGGGAAGAAATAAACCAAAGAACTTATATGCATAACCAATGGACACAGACAATCGTGTGGGAAAAGGTGGGAGGGGGGCGGGAGGGGAGAGGAGGGGGTCAATGAGGAAAAAATGTGGAACATCTGTAATACATTTTACATTCAACAATAAAGATGAAAATAAATAAATAAATAAATATGGAACCAAAAAATTAAAAACAAAAAAACAAAAAACGACAACAGCCAACACAATAGCCATCCGGTGTCAATGAATCAAAATTATACCTATTTTTTTATTTTTGTCAGATTGGCAAATAATACATATTTTTTGGCAAGCCGCAGAGTTTTAGTTACTAGTTTATATGTGCCATGAGATGAAAATGGTTGGAAATCTCTGGCTTACACGAAGTCCTTTGGAAGCTGCTTAGCCCTCCTCCATTTGTAGCTATGTCTTCCAGAACATGTGGCCTCCAAGGTCACATTGGCGGGTGGGGGGCGTGTTTTCCAGTATAGGCCTGGAAGTATTTACTCACTTCTGCCCATATCTACCAAATTTAGTCATGTGATTCCAACCTAACTACAAGGAAGGTCAAGAAATATAGTCTTCCCATGTGCCTAGGAAGAGGAAATAAAGTGAATAAATAGCAATGCCTCTGCCACACTATCAAATTAGCAAAGTGTCTGGACTAATAACTAGTGTCATCTTATTTGCTGAGAGCTGTTAGTATGGGCAACACACACTCACACCTAATAGAGTGATACCTTCAGCCAGTCTTTAGCATCCAAGGCTCACTGTTAGTTAATGACTTCAGTGGTCCTGACAACCAGGCCTCTCGACATTGTTCAGTCACCTGTGAATTTATCTTGAGACAGTAAATATTTGCTCTGACTGAGAAAGTAAAAAATCTGCCCAGCCGCCCTGGCCGGTTTGGCTCAGCAGTTAAAGCATTAGTCCAAGGACCAAAGGATCACGGGTTCAATTTTCAGTCAAGGGCATGTACCTGGGTTGCAGGTTTGATTCCTGTTCCCATTGGGGTCCTGCGGGCATCCATGTTCCTCCTTCCCTCCCTTTTACCCTATCTAAAAATCAATGGAAAAATATTCTTGGGTGAGGATTAATAAAAAACAAAACAGAACAAAAAAATCTGCCCTGCCATTCATCACAGATAACCAGGCACAGATAAAAATGGCTGCAAAGTTAACAGGAAACAGTATTTCTCTTAAGCATACATGCAACTTAAAGCATTACAATTCCCTTCTCTGAGAGATTTTTTAAATTTACTAAGAAATTTTGTTCTCTAAATCATAAACTGTTAGAAAGTTTGCTGTTTGAAATTGTATCAGTGAGAATGAAGCCTTGCTTAAGAGAATCTAAGTCATTTTGACAGAGAAGCAGCCTTGATTTCTAGCCGAGGTGTGTACACCTTCAGAGCAGGGGTTTCTGAACACAATGTTCCACATTTAACTTTGTAGTTTCTAAGGAAACTGAACCCCGGGTCAGCTTTGCAGATTAGAGCTGATGTTGACCCTCTTTTCATACAGCTGTGTTCCTTTGAGCCTGTCAAAATGTTTCACTGAAATTTCATTTAACTGCCAAGCCTTCTCCATTATCCTATAATTACTATCCCTTCCTTTGTTTGGTGAGATATCCTACCTCACTCTGGTGTGGTTACCCTTATTGCAGTGAGTCAGTAAGCCTGACTTTGTTGGACTATATAGATTTGCCCTGGTGGACTCAGGCTGATTGGTCAGGGAAATCTCTTTGTTTTGGTCTCTGTACTTATTTGTGATTATACATTCTCTTAATTTGCTTTTTGCTTCTCAAAGTAACATTAAACTATACATTTTTCCAGTTTTGTTGAAATCTAATTGACATATAACATTGCATTTGTTCAAGGTATACAATATATTGTTAAATTACAAAAAGTCATATTATATTTGAATAGCTATTAGGCACATGAAAAGATGCTCAACATCATTAGTCATTCAAAAAATACAAATCAAAACCACAGTGAGATATTACTTCATGCCCACTAGGCTGACCAGCTATAGTTGAAGTGTTGGCAAGAATGTGGAGAAAATGGAAACCTCATACATTGTTAATGGGAATATAAAATGATGCAACCATTTTGGAAAACAGTCTGCTAGTTCTTCAAAAGGTTAAATGTAGAGTTACCATATGATCCATCAATTCTAATTCTAAGTATATACCCCTGAAAAATTAAAACATGCCCACACAAAAACTTGTACATTAATGCTTTTTTTAATTTAAAAAATATATTTTTATTAATTTTTCGAGAGACAGAGAGAAACACCTATGCGAGAGAGAAACATCAATGTGAGAGTGAAACATCGATCAGCTACCTCCTGCACACCCCCAACAGGTATGGAACTGAAGCCCAGTATGTGCCCTGACCAGGAACTGAACCGGTAACTTTTTGAGCCATACTGGCCAGTGCCATGCATACTCATAACAGCATTACTCATGATAATCAAAAGGTGGAAACAACCCAAATGTCCATTGACTGATGAATAGATAAATAAAATGTGATATATTCACACAATGGAATATTATTTGGTAATAAAAAGGAATGAAGTACTTATACATGCTACAATATGTATGAACCCCTAAAACATTATGCTAAGTGAAAGAAACCAGTCATAAAGGACCATATATTTTGATTCCATTCATATGAAATGTCCAGAATAGGCAAACTCATAGAGACAGAAATAAATTGGTGATTGCCTAGGACTTGGGAAATTGGGGGAAATGGGGAGTAACTGCAAATGGGGGCAGGATTTCTTTTGGGAATGATTAAAATGTAAAATTGTGATGATGGCTACACAAATTTGTGAATATACTCAAAACTGTTGTACATTTTAAATTGGTGACTTGTATATGTGAATTATATGTTAAAGTGGTTATTGAAAAAGACAAGAACTGTTCTAGATACAAGAATACAGTCTGCTTTCAAATAATTTAATATCGTAGCAGAGACAGACAAGCATTTTGATATAAAAAAGGTAATACATCCATGGATTGTGTGAGTACACAGAGTAGGGCATCTGAGCCCAAATGGAGAATTTGGAAATGTTTTCCTCTGATGGAAAATAACATCTATGCTGAATCTCAAAGGAAGAACGAAAATTAGTGAGGTGAAGTGAGGTGTGGAACACAGACCAGCAAAGACACAGGTTTGTGCTTAACACAGGAATTGGGGGAAGTACTAGGAACAATCTGGTGTTTCTACTCTAGAAAGTACAAGGAGGAGAGTGCTGAGCCCAAGTAGCTTGGATAATAAACAGTAACAAAGGAACAATTCATAAGTGAACTGTTAGTTACAGCTTAAAATTCAAAGGTGGACTCTTTACCAAGGAGGTGACAGCTGAACTGGGTCTTGAAGTAAAGATCTTAACAGTGAGACAGAGAGAAACAATGAGGTCATAAAGAACTTGTATTCAGAGTACAGTGAGGAGTAATTCCCCCTGACCAGAGTGTAATGTCAGAATGAGAACAACAACAAAAGAGTAGATCTGATTTTATAGAGGTTCTTTTTCTATTTTTTATTGTTGACTATTACCCATGCACTTTGTACCCACTATCCCATTTAGTCATCTCAAGGCCATTTTATAGGCAAGGAAACTGAAATCTAGGAAAATAAAGGAATTTGACCAAGGTTGCATAGTGTGTTAACAACTGGGGTTGTTATGCCCAGTCTAACTCCAGAGGCCACAAGCTTATTTATACTTTACACAGTCCTGCTCTTTAACAATTGCAAGTCTGTTTCATCAGTATGGGGAGCCACCAGAAAGTTTTCCAGTAGTTGCCACTTTGTTTCTTCTGTATCTTTGCCTCCTAATGGCCTCCGCTTTCTTTTTGAGAGAGCAGAAGGGAAATGGAGAGGGGCATTTAGCTCCAGAAGGCTCTTCTGATCATCCTCCCTCTCCAGAAGGGCCTGTGTCTCACCTCAATCTCAAGTCATCTCCTGCATTTAGGGGCGTCAACACTATGATCGCTCTGCTATTTACAAAAGACTTTATTTAATTTTAAAGCTCCAAGGGCTTATTTTGTGTTTTTAATCTTCCTATATTGGTAAAGCAAGTACTACTAGCATACTTATTTACAAATAGCATAAAGAAATTTCAGAGAGACTAAATGATTAGGCAAATCACATCTCTGGGCGGCGATTTCTTTTCCTATAAAATGAGGTTGTTAAAGTATATATTTCTTTGCAACAACAAAACAGTTATCATTTTGGACCTGCTCAGAGTTGACAAGCCGTTCAGGAGCAAAATTAGTTCGCTAGCTCAGATGTATCTCTACTAGATCTCTGTGAGAAATAAAGGCCTGAGTTCCCCAGGCAACCAACCGGGAGGGATTGAGCGCGGGACCGCCCCAGGTCGGCTCGGCTTTGCGCCACGGCAACCAAGGAGCGAGTGTGAGCAGCGGCGGAACGGATTTTGAGAGCGGCGGGGACGCGTTTTAACAACGGACCGGGGAAAGGAAGTGTGCTACACCACAGAGAGGACCCACTCCGGCTGCTGTGCGCGCTGCGCGGGGTCTGTGGAGTTTGGGCTGCTCCCGGCGGGCCTACGCCTTTGAGTCACTGGGACAGGTGGAGGCAACCGCAGGCTCCAGACCTGCTGGTTCCGGAGGCGGACTGGACGGACTGACTTCGGTCGCTGCCTATTTTCTGCTCTTGCTGACCTTGGCCCAGGGTCGGAGCTGATGGCGGCTCGGGCTGTTGTCAGCCTGAGCAGGACCGCTGCCATATGCTTGCGGGCTCTAGGCCCTGGAGCCCGGGCGGCCCTTCCGTGCGTCTCCCCAAGCTCTCAGCTTCACCCCCTGGGCTGCTGCCCGGCGTGGGGCCGGACGCTGCACCTCACCACGGCGGCCCCCGCCGGGCACAACAAGTGGTCTAAAGTCCGACATATCAAGGGTCCCAAGGACACTGAAAGGAGTCGCATCTTCTCCAAGCTTTCTTTGAGCATCCGCCTAGCGGTTAGAGGTGAGAACCTGACATCACCCACGGCTGGCCCTGCTGCCCTCTCTGTGCCCAAGGCCTCATTTGCCTCGTTAGCAACCTGGAGGTGGGGCAGGGCCTATCCCCATCCTCGGCCCTTCATTTTCATAAAGACAGAGTGAATTAAAAACTTCTTTTCCAAAGTAATTCCCTTCCATATCCCATACAAAACACTGGATAAAGTGTTCTAAACTAACCAAGAACAAAGTGATGACTTGCCACTCTTTTGGGTAATGAATGTAGGTCTGCAAATAATGAAATGAGATGACTTTGCTCATTCTTTTCTATCTCAGAAGGAGGACCCAACCCTGAGCTCAACAGCAACTTGGCCCACATCTTAGAGGTGTGTCGCAACAAGCACATGCCCAAGTCAACAATTGAGGCATCGCTGAAAATGGAGGTGTGTCCTCAATTTGACATTCGTTATTGATCAGAGCCCCCAGGGCCCATGTCTTAAAGGCCATCAACAACTCCTTAAATTATCAGAGAGAAGGGTAGCAATGTGGTTAACACCTTCAATCCAGAGCCTTTTGGTGTCTCTCTCTTGGTTATGGGAGCACAATCAGCAATATGATGGATAGACAATGTGTAGAACCATAGAACCTAGGACTGCTCAGCTGAGTTGTGAGGAGATGAAGTAGAATGAATGGACACAGTGTGGGGAAAGTCCTTATAGATTGAGGAAGTATTTATTTTTCTGATATTTATGGCCAAAGGAGAAAAGCTAGTAGAAAGAGAGAGGGTTTGGATGATAGTGATAGATAGAGCCCAGGTGAGGGGACATCTCTTCCTCTGGGACAACTGGGAAGGATCTGAGGAAGTATTCCTCTTACTGGCTAATAGTTGAGTGCTTACTGCAGGCCAAGCACTTTGATAAGAAATCTGAATGCATTATCTCACAGAATCGTCAAAACATCCTTAACTGGAAACTGAGACACAGAAAGATTAGGTGACTTGACTGAGTCAGACAGAAAATGACAACTGAAAGCAAACAGTCAGACTCCAGAGCTATGCTGTATCACACATACTGGCTTCATGTTGGCTGTAGTGTAGATAAGGTGGTAGAGTCAGGGGATTTGCCCCCACCTGGTGGTTCTTTATTTCCTGTCAAAGAGGAAGGGAGAAGTTATCAGTTGAGAGTTCCTGAGAAGGCAGCAGGCAGGGTGCTTGGAGAAAGTAGTAAAGATCGGATACATGATGGGCAAGGTGGCATGGGAAATCCAGATGAGATTGGTCATTATAGTTTTTGATTGATTGAATTTTTGAAGCCATGCTATTTTCAGTGGCTCTTGTTAAAGGGTATATTTGTGCAACTTTGTGTAGCAGTACTGAGCAGCCCAGGGGTAGGAGCACAGGTGGATTTCATAAGGGATAGGGTGTAAGAGGATGAGGAGTCTTGTTGGGAGTGATGGGAGCAAGTAGGTGTGGAATTCGGCCGGGGAGGGAGGAAACAAAGCTGGGAGATGGCTAATTGATTGTTCAGGGACCAGAGAAACAGACACTTTTCCAAGTAAGGGGTAGTGCTTTCATTTACTTTAAAAGTTGGTCCCACAGGCCTCCTCTCGGTGGTGGTGGTGGTGGGGGCAACAGAAATAAACATTTGAGAGCATAGGCTCCAGCCCAAAGAGCTCATTCGTGGAGTCAGCTGTATGATGGTAGTGCCTGTGGTTCTGGGCTGGCATGTGGGGGGAGGGAGAGATTGGGAAACAGGAAAATGTGCTCATGTTGTTTTTACAGAAAACCAAGGACATTTATTTGTTGTATGAGGGTCGAGGCCCTGGTGGCTCATCTCTGCTCATTGAAGCATTATCTAACAGTGGCTCCAAGTGCCATTCGGACATCAAACATATCCTGAACAAAAATGGGTAGGTGTGTGGGGGAAATGGAGGAGCCTTGGGTTGTATTTCTCTGCAAGGAAAGTACTGTCCTTTCTGGTGGTGGTTCATATTTTACTCACACTTCATCCTTAGCAGAATCTAAATGGGCTCATTTTACTCTCCCTTAATGTGGTATGTGCTAGACAGGATCCAAAAGACTTGTTTATAAATGTAGAAGGGGCTCTTTGTCCCATTATCCCATCTGTAGCCTTGTAATGTCCACATCTTAAAATGTACCACTGGAGCTGAAATCTAAGTGGCATAGGAATTGATGAGCAAAGTTTTGGCATCCTCCAAACTTAAATCAGGGAAGAAAATAGAGGGTGGGGATACATTTGGATTATTCCCTTGCCCAATGGTAGCTAGCTGCATCTTCTCCTTCAGGAAGAGAGCTGCCCCATGTCTGTATATACTCAGAGGCTAGATGGAAAAGAGACTGTGCTGTGCAGTGTTGTGTGGAGGCTGAGTGTCTAAAGGCATGTGTCCTGGCCCACTTCCTTCCTATCAGAGGAATGATGGCCGAAGGAGCTCGCCACTCCTTTGACAAAAAGGGGGTGATCGTGGTTGGAGTGGAGGACAGAGAGAAGAAAGAAGTGAACCTGGAGCGTGCCCTGGAGCTGGCAATTGAAGCAGGAGCTGAGGATGTCAAGGAAACTGAAGACGAAGAGGAAAAAATCATTTTTAAAGTGAGTATGAAGCCTTAGTGTGTGGTGGACTTCCGAGAGGGCCCTGATAGACACATTAAGGCATACCTTGCTCAATTTCTTCTTTCCTGCACCTGGGGTACAGCTGACATAAAAGATTTCACATATTGCACAAACATTTATTAAGTGAATGCTAGGTAGGGCTTACTCTACTGAGGACTATGAGAAGGATTCAGAACAACTGAAAACGATATTTCTGTCAGTGAAGAGCTTAAAACCAATGATATATTACAGTAGTTCCATTCAGGTTTTGTAACATTCTGTTCAGCTTTGTCCTGTTATCTCCTGGCTCCTTATCTCCTAACTTTGCTTTGTTCCTAGTTTATTTGTGATGTCACTTCACTGCATCAAGTGAGGAGGAAACTGGACTCCCTGGGCTTGTGTCCTGTGTCCTGTGCACTAGAGTTCATCCCCAACACAAAGGTACAGCTGGCTGACCGTGACCTGGAGCAAGCTGCCCATCTCATCCAGGCTCTTGGCAACCATGAGGATGTGATCCAGGTCTATGACAACATTGAGTAATCAGACTGTACATGCCCTCTGGCTCCTTCCTAGGCAACGGGCAACTCGTTCTGGAGCACAGGCTTCTACAGCATCCCCTAGGACTGAAGCAAGTTGGGAGCCTAGCAGGTTCAAAGGCATAAGACCTGCAGTTTTGTGGACACTTCTCTGGGGCCTCTTTGTCAGCTCTGCTGGTGTCTCAGAGCCCCAAGTCCCCCCACTCCCTCCTGGATGCAGAGTAGGGCCAGTCAGTGGTCAGACTGTGATCTCAGGAAGTTGGCCCTTCTGGGGATGGTAGGTGCCGTGAGGGCCCATGTATTAGAAACTGCTCTTAATAACAATGATTGATCTGAGTTGCTGCATTGTTGTATGGCTCTTGAGTTTTCCTGAGTTTGTGTCCAGCTGTTGGGACCCTCTTGACATCCTTTCAAGTCTATAAGCCTTGTTCCACTACTCCAATCCCAGGACTATTGTTTGTATTTTGATTGACAATAGAAATGTAGCTCTCTCCAGGTACTCTGTGCTCTAATGCTGGTCTAATGGCCTAAACCGGTCATTCGGATATTTATCAAACACCTACTATATACCAGGAACTGTACTTATCAAGAGCACTAGCTGTTCAATTGGTGCCCTGTGTTAGGTCCTACTCTAAGATATAGGACTTCGGCGGGGGGGAAGAAAACAGGACTGCTCTCTTCTGGAGCTGTTCCAGGGCAGTGCAATCTGCTGTGCATGTATCCTTGTTCTCTCTGTGTGGCCTCTGTGCCTTTCTTCTGTCAGGGAGCTTGAAGGCTCTGGCCCAATAGGAAATCAAGTGCCAATGATAAGAGACTCCGAGGCCCTGCTTTGCCTGGGCTCCTGTGTGTTCTGAGATTTGTCAGAGTGGACTGGTCAGCAGACTAGGCTATTCTCAGAAAAGGCCATACCAAGCTGAAAACGATATTTCTGTCAGTGAAGAGCTTAAGGTTTTGCAAGCTGCTTGGTCTCCAGAACGCCCAACCCTAGTTCCTCTTCATCCCTAATGCCAGATGATGGGGTACTGGAAACTGGAGAGGAAATGAGAACAGAAGGAAGAGTGAAGGCTGCATCAGAAGCCTGGCCAGGTGGGAAATAGGGCCCTTGCTGCCTTTTGCTTCTAATAGTCACTTCTGGGTTTAGAGAGACCTGGAGTGGGTTTTTTATCCATGCTATTCAACTATTTATAAGTTGTGTAAGCCAGTTCTGAGCCCAGAGTAATTTTCCTGAAGAAGTCTCAGGTATATGAGGATGGGAGAAAACTAAAACCAAATTAGTTATAGATGATAACTTCAGCTTCTAGGAAAAACATTACTAGTTCCATGACGACTTAAACTGGAGAGTGAAAGCTAGGGGGAGGAAAACCAATGAAATAATCCATGATTATGCCAAAGTATATGCTCTTATACCTCCTTTAATAATCATGAATCTACCTGGGATTCTTTAGTTTTTATAGGAGATAATTTATCCAAATATATGAATAACAACACATCATTAATATAGGGCAACTTAAAGTTGAAATGCTACTTCATAATTTATAAGGTACTTTCATATTTTATTTATTTGATTTTCACAACAAACCTAGAAAATAGTTAGGCCAAGTATTTTATGCACAAATTATTTTATACCAAATGGGTAAGAACAAGTCTAATACTATACATCTTGTATTGATAGACTTTGGTTTACAAAATAGCTGTTTTGTAAATGTTGAAAATAAATTTGGAGGAATGTGATCATTTATGAACTAAGGAAGCCCACTTTGGAAGGGAATTTGCCTACTCATGTGGAATAGTCCTCTAATAGATAAGATTTGTTAATGTGGATTCTTGTGTAAACAATTTTCTTACATCAAGACATACTAGATGGCTCTGCACTGACCCCTCGTGGTGGGAAAGGCAGAAATGAAACCTTACTTGGACTTGTTCTGCCTCTAGATCTGGTAGACTCCCTTGCCTACACAGGTTAGTTAAATAACTATTTAACTGAATAGTTAAAGAGGGTATGAGACCTGGCCGGTTTGGTGCAGTGGTTAGAGCGTCAGCCCACAGAACGAAGGCCCTGGTCATGTAACCAGTCAATGTGTCTCTCTCACATCAGTGTCTCTCTCCCCCTCTCTCCCTTCCATTCTATCTAAAAATCAATGGAAAAATATCCTCCAGTGAGGATTAACAAACAAATATATACATATATATAATAAAATGAGAGTATGAGTTATTCTGCCACTAGAAAGATTATTTTATGTCAGAGCAAATATTTACAATATAATGTTAAATGGAAAACAAAGATACAAAACTATATGTATTATATGGTCCAAAATTTAAAATATATATCATACCATTAAAAAATATCTTTTTAAAAAAAGACTAAAAGGAATTGTACCAAAATGTCAAAACTGGTTATCTCTGGATAATGATATTATAACTGAGTTTTATTTTCTATAATCATGTATTACTTTCATCAAGGGGAACATTTTAAAAAAAGGAAAACTAGTCACATTATTGTCCAACTAGGGAGACAGTTGGGAGTCAGACGTACCTTAAAGGCAAAAGAATTGCCCTGACCGGTTTGGCTCAGTGGTTGGAGCATCGGCCTGCAGACCAGAGAGTCCTGGGTTCGGTTCCCACTAAGGGCATGTACCAAAAAAACAAAAAACCAACAAAACAAACAAACAAAAGTCAAAAGAATGGGGTCTGGTCCTGGCCTGCCTTTGCTTTATCTTTGGTCATTGTTTTAGCAACACAAAATTATTTAGAACCTTGTAGCTGGCCTGGGTTCATTTTCAGGTGTCCTTTCAGTGGGATGGAGGTATCTGTGATAGGCTCTGTCCATAGCCTTGACTCTTAAAAGAAGTGTTCATGTGATATGTAGCTGCCCCCGCTCCCTCTGCCAGAGGCCCTGGCTGAATCGAACAGGAACCGTGAAACCTCTGCCTCCAGCTCACTATGGAGATTTAACCACATGGTTGAGTTATCTGTACTTTATTTTCTGTCTCTGAAACATAGAATAGCAGTCAATAAAATGTCAAACTCCAAGAAACCCCAACTTTAGACTTTGATTTGAATCCTTGGGGACTGCTCTGGAGATAGTCAATGAAGAAAAATGAGCCGGTAGTTCTCGTAAAACAGAGTGTTATGATACCACACTCGTCTTGACTGAAATAATTTTTTCTGTTGTCCTCAGATAGTGAATGGGTTAGCAGTTATTGCTCTTTCCTTATTATTTTTCTTTTATCTCTGCCAGAAAAGTAACATTGTTTTTTTAAAAGTCAAACTTTATCAAAACATGTAATAATAAAAGTCCTATCTAAGATATAACTACCTCCTAAGATATAACTACCATTTATCTACATTATTCTACTCATTGGAACCAATCTGCTGGGGAACAAAATCTGACTGTCAGTAGCTAGTAACCTTGGATGAGAACTTAATCTCTCTGCAGCTATTTCTTCATCTGTAAAATGGGAAGAACCATACCTATTTCAGAGTTGCTTTGTGAATTAAATTAGTAATACAGGTTGGTGCAAAAGTAGGTTTACAGTTGTGAGTACATGAAGCAGAGCTTATGCTTGTATTATTTATTATTTATTGTATTATATTTCCATATGAACAACTATAAACCTACTTTTGCCCACCCTGTATGTTAAGCACTTACAACAGTACCTGGCAATACTAAGTGTTCAATAAATGTTGACCTTTCCTCACTAAGTATGAAAGAAGATTTTTAAAAACTGAAATGTGATCCTATACATTTCTGCTTTATAACCTGTTTTGTTTGTTTATTTGTTTTTCACTTTACAATATATCCTGGACACCTTTTGGTATTAATATGAAGAAGTCTGCTTCATTCTTTTTTGGTAGCTACATAGTATTTTATTGTATTTATCAGTGTGCCATAATTTATTTAACTAATCTGCTATCAGTGGACATTTGGATTATCTTTCTTACAAAAGATCCTGCAATAAACATTCATTTTATTTTTATCCTCACCCAAGGACATTGTTTCATTTTTTTGTTCAGATAGAGCAGGAGGGGGAGAGAGGAAGAGAGAGAGAGAAACATCGACATGAAAGGGACACACTGAGTGGCTGCCTCCTGCACAACCCCTACCGGGGCCAGGGACAAACTGCAACCGAGGTACGTGCCCTTACCTCAAGGAATCAAGGAACCAAACCCGGGTCTCTCTGGACCGCGGGCTGACACTCTAACCGCTGGGCCAAACTGGCCAGGGCTGAACAGTCATTTTTTAATTGATGTTTTTAGAGAGAGAGGAAGGAGAGAGAGATAGAAACATCAATGTGAGAGAGATACATAGATCAGCTGCCTCCTGCACTCCTGCCACTGGGGATGGAGCCAGCAACCTGGGCATGTACCCTGACTGAGAGTCGAACCTCGAACCAGGACCTCTCAGTTTATGGGATGACGCTCAATCCACTGAGCCACACTGGCCAGGCCCAATGAACATTCTTTATCTTTGCTCACTTGCAAAATATTTTTTAGGATAAATTTACAGAAGTGGAATTTCAAAATAAAAAGCAATTTTTTGTTAGAAGTAAATGTCAATAATATATAAAACATCATCATTGTAAAAATCTATGATGTGGTGCTCACTTCGGCAACACATATACTAAAATTGAAACGATCCAGAGAAGATTAGCATGGCTCCTGCCAAGGATGACACGCAAATCTGTGGAGCATTCCATATTAAAAAAAATCTATGATGTGTATACCATTGGTCAACAATGCAGATAAACTAAACTGGTTGAACTAGTAATCTAAATGTGTCCCACTTTACCTGTGACTTAAAAGAATTTTGATCAAATCAGGTGATAGGTTTGATTTATTTTCTTTTTTTATACCAAATTCATTGAGCTATTCCTTAAGATACTTCATTTGTTTATATTTATTGTCCTCTGTCATGTGTCCAAGTGTCCCTATGCTCTTAAAATAAAAAAAGAAGTATGTAGCTGGTGTGTGATTGGGCTGTCTAATGGGACCAGCACTTTCTGAGGCCCTGAGTTACTATGGGTAGCTCATGGTTACTGGGGTCAGATATGGCTCTGGTGCTTAACAAAGGGCATCTATTCAGTGTAAAACCAGGGGAACAGACTTGAGAAGGCATGACCCAGCTGGAAGGCTTCATAGGGGGAAATGAGTGAGGAGAGAAACAGCCTAGAAAAAGAAGATAAAATACATAGTGAAAAGTATGCACTTGTGGGAATTACATTCAATTGCTAATATCCCCATTTGAGGTTTACTTATTTATTCAACAAATATTTGTTTGTTTTTTTGTTTGTTTGTTTTTGTTTTTTATCCTCACCCGAGGACATTTTTCCATTTTTTGTTCAGATAGAACGGGAGGGAGAGAGAGGAAGAGAGAGAGAAACATTGATGTGAAGGGACACATCGAGTGGCTGCCACCCGCACGACCAACCAGGGCCGGGGACAAACTGCAACCGAGGTACGTGCCCTAAGCGGGAACCGAACCCGGGTCTCTTTGTACCGCAGGCCGACACTCCAACCGCTGAGCCAAACCGGCCAGGGCAACAAATATTTGTTTTTTGAACGTGCTATGAAAGATGCTAGGCATGCTCATTTGAATGCTTCTGTCTTTATGCTTACTTAAAAGCAATTACAACAGAGTAGGACAAGTGCTTTGATGAAGAAAGTAGTAGGTGCACCTGGCCACTATAGCTCAGTGGTTAAGCATCAACCAATGCACCAAGAGGTCACTGGTTCGATTCCTGGTCAGGGCACATGCCCAGGTTGTGGGCCAAATCCCCAGTAGGGGGCCTGCAGGAGGTGGACAATTGATGTTCTTTCTCATCGATGTTTCTATCTCTCTCTCCCTCTCCCTTCCTCTCTCTCTAAAGTCAATAAAGAAAAAAGTACTAGGTGCTCTGGTACCAAGGTGTCTGTCTGGAAAGATTTCCTGGAGGGAGTGATGTTTAGGTCTAGTTCTTCCCTGAAAGAATGGGAATGGAGACAAGAGGGGAGGAGAAGAGTATCTGAAACAGAAAATAGCACATGCAGAGATGTAGAGGCGAGAGTCACATTTGAGGAACTGCCAGTGGTTCTGTATGGTCAGAACATAGAATCTGAATGATGGGGTTGGTGGCGGTGTGAAATGGGAAGACCTGTGGCTAGAGAATGGCCTGGGTCCTGAAGGGCCTCCTTAGTTACATTCACATATTCAACTTATCCTAAGAGTGATGGGAAACTAAAGTTTTTAAGCAGAACATGACAGGATCAGGTGGCCATCTTAAAAAGATCACCCTGTAATGTGAGCACACTAAATAATCCAAGTAAGTGATTTGGGGGTTTGAACTAGGGTGGTAGAGCTGGGAATAGGAGAGGAGTGGACAGACTGGGGACATGGTCAAGATGTGGGGGAAGGGAATGGAGAGGAAGAGCTCTCCAAGGTAGATAACTCAAAGGCATCCACCTTGGGGAATTGAAGGTGGACAGAGGAAATGCAGAACTAGGGAGGAAAATAATGAATTCAGTTTGGACCTGTAGAATTTGAGGTGCCTGTGGGATACTCAAGGGGGTGATGGTTCTGGAGCTCAGAAGAAAGTCCAGTATGGTAACTGCAAAGTGGGAATGGTCAAAATAACTGGTTAAGGGACAAACAATGGAAATGAAGCCCTCAAAGAAAGTACTTGTTAGAAAGGTAGAAGGAAAATCGGAAGGTTCTTTTCAGCTAAAGACTTAAGTAGTTGTATTGCAATGCTCTACTACATGGGAGGCACTATTCTAAGTGCCTGTGATAGGGCAGTGAAAAGAACAAAATCCTCGATCCTACACATCTTATGTTCACTGTAGTTGGAGGAAAGACAAATAAGTAAATATATAATTTGGGCACTATGAAGAAAAATGAGGCAGAATATGAAGATACAGGCTGATGAAGGGGAGAGAGGCTATTTTGGATGGGATGGTTAGAGTTGACATTTGAGCAGAGACCGGAATGAAATGGAGGAATTAGCCATGGGACATCCTGGGAAAGTGTTTCAGGCAGATCAAATGGCAAGTACCTGAGGTGAAAAGTCCTGAGCCTGGTAGGTTCAGACTATGGTGAGAAGGCCAGTGTGGCTAGAGGACAGTGATGGAGGGAGAGTGGTAGAAGTGAGGTAGGAGAGGATGGCGGGAGCCAGCTCCTGTTGGGCCGGGAAGGCCATAACAGAGTTTGGGTTTATTTTAAGTGTGATGGGAAGCCACTGAAGGGTTGACAGCAGGGGAGTGACATGATCTGAATTATATTTTACAAGAATCACTCTGGCTGCTGTGTGGAGAATCATTTGTTGGGTGACCACAGAGAAAATAAGGAGACAGTTAGGAGGCCAGGGTAGTGCTCCAAGAGAGAGGGTGGTGGCTTGGACAAGGATGGGTAGTGGTGAGACGTGGTTGGGTCCAGATACATTCTGGAACAAGAGTGGAAAGATTTGCTGAATAACTGGAGATAGGAGTGTGAGAGAAAGATTAAAATCAAGGAAGACTCCTAGGGTTGTATTTTAAGAATTGGGAAAACAGAAGAGCAGGGTTTTGGGGAAGCAAAGGGAAAAAAAATCAAGAGTTCATTGGAGATGTGTTTTAGAGTTGGACAAGTACTTTGATGAAGAAAGTACTAGGTGCTTTGGTATTCCAAGAGAAACTGCTGAATAGACCTTTGGATACAGACCATGAAATGGGTGCTAGATTTCTACTGGCATAAATGTGTCTTTTAAAAAATATTTGTCTCAGGTCAACAAAATTAAGGGTCAGATCTGAGCCTCAGATTGGCAGATTATGACCTCCAGCATAAGCCTATTATACTCACTCTCAACAGAGTGAGCTCCCCAAAAGGGTGACAGTCTGGGTTTTATTCTAGATAAAAAGAGATTCTTAATGGCTGAAGAAAATCTTAGTTAATACGGTGGTACGTGGCCTTCAAAGCTCAATCCTACCTGACAAAATTGTATTCCTTAATATTTAATTTCTCTTATCAGGAAGAATTTAAATAATTGGGGGATGGGGGTGATCATGAAAAAAATAAAAAACAAAAATGGTTGTGAAAAACTGGCCTAGTGCAAAAACATAGCCTTTGGGTGTCAGATAGACCTGGTATGAATCCTGGGTCTACCACCTGCACATGATACTTACATTCTCTCCGCTTCATTTTCATCATTTAAATGCCAATAGTATTAATGACCTCAGAATTATTAGGAAGATTAAATGAGAGGACATGCCTGGCATATCGTAAATGACTGATAAATGTTTTCTTTCCCCTATACTCTATCTCCCCTTCCCAGAAAAAAGGATTATTATAGTTAAGGAACTATGGGGAAATGACAGATTTAAGAGCTTGTTCAAGAAAACAAAAAACAAAAAACAAAAAAAAAAACTAACAAGACAAGAGGTCCAGTAAATATTAGGGTGGTCTGTAAATCAAGAGGAGTCTAAGGCAAAGCCACTACTAAAGGTTCTCAGTTGGCAGCTGAACATCGCACCTGAGGAAGGTTATTCTGGCGTCTCATTTATATTACACTGGAACAGGGACCAGGGGGGAGCCCTTGTTAATTGTGGTGGACTTGGAATCTGAAGATCTGGGTGTACAAAATGTTGAACAATGGGGGGTGGGGGGTGGGGAAATTAATTATGGTCACTCTCTATTTTGAAATATCATGCAGCCAGTACAGTTGTTTTGGAACAATATTCAGTGCCACGGGAAAACAAAATATAAGCACACCACAGAACAATTTGAAGCCATTTTTGTCAAACGTTGTATATATCTAGGCAGGAAAGATAAAATTATCTCTGAGGTGGGATTTTTTTCCCCTCCGATATTAATACAAAGAGCTTCTATTGCTTTTATAACCAGAAACATGTTTGGATTGTTTCCCCTCCCCTGAAAGAACCTTTCTGGCTTTGCCACTTACTGGTTTGGCCCTGCTCAGCTGCGGAACTCCCGGATTTCCGAGGACCCACATTCTACCACTATCCCAGTCTCTCGGAGGGTGTAGCCCGGGAGGTAAGAGACCCAGGAAAAGACAGGCAGGTGAGGCCGCTCCTGCCTTCGGGCAAGCGTAGCGTCTGGACTGGAGGACTTGCCAGGGGATCCCGCGGAAGCGGTGGCCACACGCCGGGAAGCGCTTAGAGCCAGAACCCTCCCCGCTTATTACGCACCGGGTGTGGGCACAGGGAGGAAGGGGCAGGGCACTGGCCTCTGGAACTGCCGAGAACCGGGGGGGCGGAAGGCCTGGGGGCCCAACCAGCCGCCTTCCCAAACTCCAGCCCGAAAGCAGCAGGGAAGGAACCACGCCAGCCCGCGCGTCCGCGGAGCCTCCGGTGACCGACAAGAGGTGGGGATGTGGGCGGAGCCTCACACGCGAGCTGTGATTGGAGCAAACAACACCTCCTGGCGAGAGAGGGCGGGCGAGCCAGCAAGGGTTGGGCAGAGGCGGGTGATCAGAGCCCTCTACGTGATTGGCTAGTAGTTAGTGCTGTTCCGATGATTGACAGACGGTAGTTAGCCTTCGTAAACCTCCTTGGCTTCGCCCATTGGCATCTTGCGAAAGTAGGCGGGATTGGTTCATCGTGTGGTGCGGATGATTAACTGGCGGCTGAGAGGGTGTTGGAGAGAGAGCGAGGGAGGGTAGTGGCTGCGGGGGCAGCGACTTCCTCCTTGTTATTGGCTGGTGAAGTGAGTGGGGGTAGTACGAAGGTCCCGCGA